AAAAGCTCTTCCTGTCTATCATCTATTAGGCATTATCTCATTTTCTACTACAAAAAACCCTGTTCTACAACCAGGTTATTTTTATACCTTATTGCTTTTTTGTACACTAATAAAGTTATATCTTTTTTCATAAACTCATTCCTAAAAAAATAGGGATTAAAACATCCTAATTGGTATAAGTCTTTTCAAGCCTGTTAATTATAAATTATATTCCTGATAATACTGCTAATTAGAAGTATACATATTAAACATTACAACATTTTTGTTCTACATCAAGAAAAATATATAACTTGGACATTTTTCCTAGCTGAATAGTACAACATGTGAAATGGTTTGCATACTTTTGACTTCAAGTCGAAAATGGTATTTACACTTGGCATGACAGAAACCAGGTGGGACGAAACCCATGAAAGGAATGGACTGATGTATGGATACAAATTGTTCAAAAGAAACAGAACTACAGGAGGGGGAGTTCCACTATATGTAAGAGAACACTTCAGAAATGCACATGATCAAAAACAACCCCCCCCAACCAGTTAACAAATGTATATAGGAAGTATACCACAGTAGTAATGGGAGACTTCAACTACCCAGATATCAGCTGGGAGACAAACTCTGCAGTGAGTAGGAGATCAAACAGATTCCTAACCAACATAGCTGACAAATTTGTCATCCAAAAGGTTGAGCAGGGAACTAGAAGTAAAGCTATATTGGACCTAATACTTACTAATAGATAAGAAGTGATAGAGGGAGTTGAAGTTGCCAGAACCTTGGGGGAAAGTGACAACGTCATACTGAAATGCAATCTAATGCAAACACAAGCAATAGAAAATAATTCAACCAGTGTCTTAAAACTTCAAAAGAGCTGATTTTAACAAACTCAGAGAGAACCTAGGAAAGACTCCATGGATAGAAATCCTAAAGGGGAAAACAATTCAAGAAGCATAGGAAACTCTGAAAAATACTATCATAAAAGCCCAGTCCAGCACTATACCATTGAAAAAGAAAAACAAAGTCAAGAAGAAACCAGCATGGCTGCACAAAGATCTCTTAGACCAGGGGTTCCCAACCTTGGCAACTTTAAGACTTGTGGGCTTCAACTCCCAGAATTCCTCAGCCAGCTTTGCTGAGAGTTGAAGTCCACAAGTCTTAAAGTTGCCAAGGTTGAGAACCCCTGTCTTAGACAAACTGATAGACAAAAAGGACTAGTACAAAAAATGGAAAGAAGGACATATAACTAAGGTTGATTATCAGCAGATGGCCAAAACATGCAGGGACAAAGTCAGGAAGGCAAAGGCTCAGAATGAACAAAGACTTGCAATAGAAATCAAGGATAATAAAAAAAGTTTCTTTCAACATATTAATAACAAGAAAAAGGTCAAGGAAACTGTAGGTCCACTAAAGAGAGAAGACGGCAAGGAAGTAACAGACAGTAGGGAGAAAGCAGAGCTGTTTAACTCATTCTTTGCATCAGTTTTCGCACAAAAAGAAATTATAGCCCAACATACTAAAAAAACTACTGCAAAAGACAAACTAGAAACAAAAATTAAAATAAGCAAGAAAATGGTAAGAAAACACCTATCTGACTTTGATGAATATAAATTACCAGGATCCGACAGATTACATCCCAGAGTTCTGAAGGAACTGGCAGATATTATTTCAGAACCATTGTACCATATATTTCAAAAATCCTGGAGCACTGGGAAAATATCCGAGGATTGGATAACGGCTGGTGCAGTTCCCATTTTCAAGAAGAAAAAAAAAACCCAGACCCAGGAAACTATAGACCAATCAGTCTAACATCAATACCTGGAAAGATCCTGGAAAAGATAATCAAAAAACAGATCTGCAAACAGCTAGATGCATACAAAGTTATAACTGGTAGTCAGTACGGGTTTGTTAAAAACAGATAATGCCAAACCAATCTTATTTCATTCTTCGATAAAGTGATCAAATTAGTAGACCAGCAAAATGGTGTGGACATCATATACTTAGATTTCAGTAAGGCATTCAACAAAGTAGACCACAATATACTGCTTGGTAAGCTAGAAAAGGGTGGAATAGACAACATCACCACCAGATGAATTTGTAGCTGGCTGACAAACCATACTCAATGAGTAGTCCTCAATAGCACTACATCCACATGAAGAGAACTAAGCAGTGGGTACCACAAGGTTCTGTCTTAGGCCCAGTACTTTTCAAAATCTTCATTAATGACTTAGATGAGGGAATAGAAGAGGAACTCATCAAATTTGCAGATGACACTAAACTGGCAGGAATAGCCAACACTCCAGAAGACAAGCTCAGGATACAAAAAGATCTTGACAAACTTGAACAATGGGCCCTATCCAACAAAATGAGTTTCAATGTGGAGAAAAGCAAAGTTTTACATTTAGGCAGGAAAATCAAAGATATAAGTACAGATTAAGTGAGTCCTGGCTCAAAAACAGTAACTGTGAGAGGGACCTTGGAGTCCTAGTGGATGATCACTTGACTATGAGCCAGCAATGTGCAGCAGCAGTCAAAAGAGCTAGTACAATCCTAGGTTGTGTAAACAGGCATAGAATCAAGATCAAACGAAGTATTAGTACTGCTTTATAAAATCCTAGTGAGACCACATCTGGAATACTGCAACCAATTTTGGTTCCCATTTAAAAAAAAAATGTTGAGAATTTGGAAAAAGTTCGGAAAAGAGCAACTAAGATGATTAAAGGCCTGGAGACTAAAACATATGAAGAACGGCTGCAGGACTTGGGTTTGGCTGGAGGTTTTTAAGAAGAGATTGGACAGTCACTTGTCTGAGATGATTTAGGTTCTCCTGCTTGAGCAGGGGGCTGGACTAGAAAACTTCCAAGGTCCCTTCCAGCTCTATTTTAGTCATCTATTCATCTTTGGTTCAATTAGATGCCATATGTTAACATGAACGAATTGTGTTCAGCACATGTCTGAAGAGAAATAAGAATTGATACAGGCTTTATCTTTAAATGAAAAATGTTCCATAGAGTGGCTGACTCGGTTGACATCAAATAAATATTTGGTTGGCATCAAATAAATATCTATAGAATATAGCACACGAAATAGGGAACACCATCCTGCTCAGTCATACTTGTTTGAAGGAAATGAGTTAATATTTTCAGAAGAAAATCTTCTAGAATTTTGCATGCAGCTTTCATAACCTGAAATACTTGGTGTATTAAATCCCATGTTGCTTGGAACAGCTCTGGTGGTCGTTGCTGTCTGCAGGTGAAGCAGTGGCAGAAATGTAAATGCTCTGTAACAGCCTTCTCCCCAAGTATTTCTTCTTCATCAGTCTAATAACTGCTGTTCCCATTTCAGCACCCATCTAACGCCATGGAAAACCAGGGCCCCCGCTGACTTCCCAAACAAGAAAAAGTTATTTGGGAGAAACTGATATCCATCACTGTACAGTAATCTTTTCTCTGCTCGGAGATTGACAGAACTGCTCGCTGAAATATTTGCTGCGACGGCAGAGAATCCTAATAATAATGATAATGATAAAGTTGGAAGGGACATTGGAGGTCATCTAGTCCAACCCCCAATCATCTGGAGGCCCCTGTAATTTTACAAAGCTAAGGATTTATCCATGACAGTAAGACTCCATCTATTGTCCCAGAAAAGAGAGGCTCACTGAAACTGGTAATAAACACACCAACAGTAAAGATTGAACAAAGCATTTGCATAAAGTAAGTGTGCAAAGGGAAAATGTCCCAAAGCAAGCACACAAACATCATTTTGGCAATTTCTGTTTTACACCTAGTCCTTGAATTACAACCATTTGTTTAGTTCAAAATTACAACAGTACTGAAAATGTGATTTATGACTGGTTTCATACTTATGAATGTGGTAGCATCCATATGGTCACATGATCAAATTTTGGGTGCTTGGCAACCAGTGTATGACAGTTGCAGCATCCTGGGATCAGGCCTTTGATCATCTTAGTTGCTCTTATCTGAATTTTTTCTAAACTCTCAACATCTTTTTTGTGATATGGTGATCAGAATTGGCTGCAGTATTCCAGGTGTGGTCTCTAGGGTTTTATAAAACGGTACTAATACTTCACATGATCTTGATTCTATGCCTCTGTTTATAGAACCCAGGATTATATTAGATTTTTTGGCTGCTGCAACGCATTGCTGGCTCATAGTCAAGTGATTGTCCACTAGGACTCCAAGGTCCTTCTCACAGTTACTGTTTTTGAGCCAGGACTCACCTAATCTGTGCTTATATCTTTGATTTTTCCTGCCTAAATGTAAAACTTTGCTTTTCTCCACATTGAACTTCATTTTGTTGGATAGGGCCCATTGTTCAAATTTGTCAAGATCTTTTTGTATCCTGAGTTTGTCTTCTGGAGTGTTGGCTACTCCTGCCAGTTTAGTGTCATTTGCAAATTTGATGAGTTCCCCTTCAATTCCATTTTCTAGCTTACCAAGGAGTAGGTTGTGGTTTACTTTATCAAATGGCTTACTGAAATCTAAGTATATTACGTCCACAGCATTTTGCTGGTGTACTAGTTTAGTCACTTTATCAAAGAATGAAATAAGATTAGTTTGCAGATCTCTTTTTTGATTATCTTTTCCAGGATCTTCCCAGGTATTGATGTTAGACTGATTGGTCTGTAGTTTCCTGGGTCCATTTTTTTTTCTTTTTTTGAAGATGGGAACCACTTAACACCCACCTTGCTTAGTAATTGAAATTTTGGTCCCAATTGTTGACGGACTAAGTTGTATACAATTTCACAAAGAAATTTCAACTGAAAAACAAAGGCAGAAATTCTGAGATCACTAGTCACAACTCAGTTGAATGTCCCATTCCCTCGGGTGTCTAGGAAGCAGTGTGTTGGTGAAGTTGAATTCACTATAGCTGTTGGAGTCATTAGTGGCTCATCAATGAAACTGAAGAATAATAGCCTTCAAAGCCTTTAATTTGCACTATTGTTTTCTGACTGTGTGACAAATTTACTGTTTTTTGCCCAACAACAGGCAAGATTCAACCAGCAAACAAACAAGTAGTTCTGATGAAGGTGGGCACCTCACATTTTACATGAAACACTGCAAATGCACTGACCTGTGGAAAACATAAGTATGTATATATGATCTACAACAGCCTTACAAGTCTGCTTTTCTCAGTGCTGGCTTCATATTACAGTGGTATTTGGGTGGTATTTTCCACATCTAGAAGATCAGATAAGAATGATAGGCATGATGGTTTTCGAAGACTTCAACCACACTAAGGTCCTGCTCAGGACTTGCCCAGAAACCTAGCATTCTTACAAAGATATCTTTGTTCTCCCAAACGAGAGCAAAGGCATCGTTGAAGAGATCAGGTAGAAAATTATTTGTCTCCTATCCAGGGCAGCCTGAAACTTAACACCAATGTCAGAATAAAATTGCTGGATGTGTTTAGGAAACTATGTTAAGTCACATGAAGAATACAATTCATTATTATCAGATTTGATTTGGCATTTGAGGATAAGTGTTGGGGCAGGAAATGCCAGGAGGTATGTGAAGGTGAAAGATAACACAAGATTAATTGGTAAGGACAATGGATGTTTGAATACAAAGCAGAGACTATTTATTTTGAAGAATCGGAACACAGTAAGGTCACTGGGTTCTTATACATTATTAATGGAATATTAATGTCTGAAATAGACAGTTTTGGTCTATTTTGGATATTAATTTCTATATATTAAGTTAAAGAAGTTAAAGACTTATCAGAATTCTTTATATTTAAAGCCCTTTTTTGAGTAAAATCTACTGTATTTTCATTATGGTGAACAGGAAATTTAGTCCTGAGTATTGCTTTTAAAATATCTGCTGGAAAAAGCTGTTGGAAGCTAGATATGATCACCTTTTATAATATAGATTTTGAGGTGTCCCTAGTATATACATTAATGGACACCGAATTGATAAATATTAATTTTAAGAATGACTAGGAGTTGATCTGCTTTACTTTTAAACTGCAACTTTTTCATTTAAATTAATCAATCTGTCTGCTAAGGGAGAGGCCCCCAACCTTTTGAGCACCAGGGACCGGTTTTTCTGCGGACCAGAGGAGGCGTGGTTTCATGTACTGCCTGCATCCCATGGATGGGGCTTTGCTTGTTTTCACGGACTGGTTTCTGACATGCTGCGGCCTGGTACCAGTCCATGGACCAGGGGTTGGGGAGCCTTGTGCCAAGGCATTCACAATATTTTCTTGGACCTCTTCTAGCCATATGACTGGTTATTTCTATCATTTGCCTATTTTTTGCTCTTTTCATACCCATTTCCCAATAAAGCCATGCCCATGTTTGAATATTTTTTTTCACCAAGCCACACAAGACTTGATTGTAGCACCCAAATAAGAAAAGCTTGTTCCACCCTTCTGTGAAAAGCTTTTATGTCTTTTGGATTCTAAAATAGGTATTTTTTAAAAATGGGAATAGTTCTTCCTTTGCTCTTTCTTCCTCCATCTTAAAAGAAACTGTCAACCATATTGTTGGCTGGAGATTATAGGAGCTGAATTCCAATAGAGCTGGAAGACTTTGGGCTAATAAAGTTAACATGGATCCTTTCTCCCCTTTCACTAGTATTATCAACCAATTAAAGCTTTATTAGCAGATTAGATTTTCAATGATTCAGTTGCCTCTGTTATTGGATTTTCCTGAGAGTCACTCTATTTTTCTCTAAATAATTTATTGAGGACATACTGTAGTAGGGAGGCTGGTAAGTTTTTTTCTTTCTAATTTTCCAGGAGCGAAGGGAGGTGTCTGTCTTACATTCTGATTCATCCTCCTTTCACATTAATATCATAAATATTAATTTGAAGCTATGTGATTATTTTCTCTTTTTTCAAGAACAAAATTCAGATTATTGAAAACATGTTTTAGACTGAGACTGACTTGAAGATACTAAGTTGTGATAATTGCACATGCTCTCCAAAATCCAAATATTCCCTGTTTCAAAAGTATCTAGCCACAGCATGGCAATGAACCAGGATGGATGTAGTTTATTCAGCAAGTCATGATTAAGTAAATCATATCTAGTATAACGGGTCAACTTAACTAGTATATTTCAAGCCTCAGGAAAATCTCTCTGAAAATCACAGTTTTGTAATTTTTGGCAATATCTAAAACAAAAAAGATCTAGCTGGGATGGAAATTGTATAGTTGGGGAAGGGGAGGAAGGAAGTAAAAGCAAACAGCCCACAAATGGAGAACCTGTGGACTTAAAGATATTGCTAAACTATGTTTCCCAGAATGACTGATATTGGGTGATAATGGGAGTTGTAGTTCAGCAACATCTGGAGAGCTTTACCATACTAACACTGAATTACATCATGTGGGATTTCTGCATTGAAAATAGTTTTATATGAGGAATGCAGCCATTCAACTCAGTCTTTTACTGTACCTAAAATATGTCTTAATTAGTGCTAAATATGTAGCTATGTCTAACATTTCAGTATAGTTTTTCAAAGATGCTGGCTTGCTACCTTGATACCATAGAAGTATAATATCCTTTCTCCGGTTTAGTTTTCTCAAGACTTCAGAAGACATGATCTCCATTTAACCTTTACTTGGAGCACAATGATTTCTTACCTTCCCACAAATTTTAACAAAGATTTTTGTTTATTTATTGCAAATTTATTTCAGCAGTCTGATTCTGCCATGTAGGCTTGTTTCTGAATGGTGTGTTGATTTTGGCCCTAGACCCCAGGGTTATCGCTTGTTCTAAGCAGACAGCTGCGTATGCTTTCCAAAATCTCCATCTTCTGCCATGCATTTCAGTGGTTTATATTTGCTTGCCACTTACCCAGTTTTTCCATTTTTGAAGTTTGTAATTTCAGATAAGATTTCATTTTCCCCCAGCTTCCAATCCTGAATTGTGCAACATGACTTATTCTGTGCATATTCCACTGCATCTTACCTAGCATCATGGTTGAGCCCCAGTCCCCATTACCAGCCATTTGCACCCCAGCTCCTCTTCTTCATATCTATACCCAGCAAATTCATACCATCTAGAAAAAGAGCTTCTATTTGCCTTTTATTTTATTTTTTTGTACATCAGAAGAGAGGAAGACATCTTAGATCTATACCTTTGCTGAGATTCTGGTGTTAGCAGTGTTTGGGCATTTAGACGAAATTCCTTCCAGAAACCCCTTGAAAAAGTGGTCTATTAGGCCAGGGTTCACAACTTTAGCAACTTTTAGGGTATGTGGATTTCAACCCCCCAGAATTTCTCAGACAGCATGAGATCCACATGTCTTAAACTTGCCAAAGTTAAGAAACACTGCATTAGGCTGTGGCAGAAAAATTACTTCCTTCCCCTCAGCCTACAGTTGTTTTGCATGACCAAAATAATACTAGATAACTCTTGCCAGATATTTAGTTGAATGCCTCCTTGAATTTATAACTGTGACATTTTTCTTTATCAGCCTTCAAGCCCATACAAGCCCATACAAGATGTAAACAAAGTTGCAGGCAACAGACTGTGGTTTTGAAGCCTGATCAAGACAGGGTGCTCTTTTCTTTCTTTGGATATTGTATTATACTGTATATTATTTCTGTCAAAGGATGTATGACAACAGCTAATACCAGTTAAGGACAATACAATTAAGCTGCCCCTTTTAACCTCAAGCTTAATTCTCTTATTATGACCTAAAGGGCTTCACTAAGAAAAGCAAAATACTACCATATATGTAGCACAAAGGCAGTGTGCTCATATCCCTTGATGAGAAGTGGAGATAGAGTGCATAGATTACCCTGTGATTCTGCATATGATCTTATGTTGCAGATCATCCATTTGACATGGGGTTGGGAAAAGATGTTAACCTACAAATAACTTAAGAGTTACTAACTCTTTTTCTGGAGATTTGTTATAGGCTTCCTGATGAAATCTGTAACATTTATTGGGCACAGCAGTCATCCTAAGACCTGCTGGGTCATATGGACCAGCCTCATCTACTGAATGGTTTCCATCTGGGCAAGATGAATTAGGTACATGGGCTTGAGCAGGGGTCCTCAAACTTGGCCACTTTAAGACTTGTGGACTTCAACTCCCAGAATTCCCCAGCCAGCATGGCTGGCTGGGGAATTCTGGGAGTTGAAGTCCACAAGTCTTAAAGTGGCCAGGTTTGAGGACCACCGGGCTAGATTCCCTGTTCTCATTGTAAAATATTAGTTCTGATTGGTTACATAACATTTGAATTATGAATTACACTGAATGATCATAGAATTGTAGAATTGATTGCAAAATCATTTGCAATGTGTAGGAAGCCAATTAAAATCATCCATGAGAGGCGGTGATCAGCCTTTTAAAAACTTTTGGAGTGGTAAACCCATAACCTCTCAAGTTGTTGTACGGCTTTTTAGTATTCGTATTAAAAAAAAAATCTAAATACTATAGATGTAATTTACACCTATTATTGACCACGAGTTCAGTCATAGTTTTAATTTTGAGCTTGTCAAGAATGCAGTTGTGATGATGTGATCAAAGTCACACACCAGTTTTATATAAAATCACAAATTTGTTCGTAGTCATGACAGCCATTTTTGACTACTTTGACAATGTTCTCCTCCCCCACTTGACACTCCTACAGATTTATACAGTACTAACTGGCAGATTCCAAATTTTCTCTTCTGGTCTAGCTAGACTAGTGTTTCCTTCCCAATTGTGTTGTTCTCCACCTTCACAGAGAAGGTTCTAAAGCAGGCATGTCAAACACGTGACATCACGCGACGTATTGCGACTTTTCCCCCATTGCTGGAAATGGGGTGGGCGTAGTTTTGGCATGACGCATTTGGCCCATGGGCCGGCAGTTTGACATGCCTGTTCTAAAGTATATAAAAGTATATAAAATATATAAATAAAACAAAACCGTAACACCATTAAAAATCAGTGTAGTTTGTTTTTTCTTCTGGGAAACTGGTCTCCATACTGGGAATACTCCCCACCAGCACCATCAATTTCTTAGTTCATACTGATGGGTGGAGAACAGTAAGATATTAAAGAGAGAATGGAATGGAGCTGGATTGAGACAATTTCATCCTTCAGCAGCATTTAAATAAGGCAGCCTGGAACGCTTTCCTTTAATTTACTAAT